TATATATAAATATGAATATAAAGATATGATGAAACAGAAAAAAAGATGGCCGAATGGATATATTGATTATACGTAACTTGAATGTGTAATTATTTTAATATGTGTAAATAGCTGCGACAATATGCGGTATCGAGACGATTATGAAAAATATTTAGGAACGAAGGATAACATGATAACATGCTTGTTAGGAGGAATGAACTGTACAGTTTTTGCGACGATATTGCAAACAACTTATCGCGTATATTATTCGAGGCGAAATGAAAATCTGATAATTATACCGTAACAGCGTGAGAGATGAAAAAGTATCCTGACGTGAAAAATCGAGGAAATCCCGATCGACACGAGACGATATGCCAGTAAAGACGACGAGTTTTATTGATCGATCGATTAAACGAATTACACGAAAGAGTTTGCTCGGGTGTTTTCATCGTTCTGCTATTATTTTAGTCGATCCAATGAAACGACCAAAAAGTTAGTATTTAATCTCTTATCGCATTGGTAGGATATTTAGTTGCTACCTTCGCTATTCTGTGAATCACGATACCAAAGATGAACGTGAGAATACCCGATCGAACGGACGTCCGCACCATGTGCACCAAAGTTCGTGACTAATTAAATTAGGCCTAATTTATAGTCTAACTTTCGCTATAGCACGTAACAAACGCCAGCGGAATCCAAGCGTTAACCCATCAGAAACTCGAGTTTCTTTGTTTCGAATAAGAAAATATTCTTTTACGCGTCTAACGATCGACATGTAACTGACGAGTAGACACTATAGGCAGAAGCTTCTGTGGCGTGGTTGTTAACTGAATTTGACTGTTCGAATTACCGGTGATCAAAGCTGGATGCGCACGTAGCGAATATGACACTAAATAAGACAGAAAGAAAGAAAAAAAGATTATAGTAGACGTTATAGTTGTACATAAATTGCCCTCTGTAGCACTTCTAGTCCTTTAAACACGAGAAGTCTATCGGACAAAGGGGAAAGGAAGAGGGGACAAAGAGGAGAGAATTCTGTATTATAATTTCGTGTAGACACCCGAGAATTCTAACTATACAGATGCTTAGTAGAGGAAGGAGATTTTCATGTTTGTAAAGTGAAATACATTTCTGTACCAAAGAAATCGCTGGACGGTGTACCTATGTCATTGAATGTTCCACGAAACGTCCGTATCCTCCAGAATGATGTCCATTCTAATGGTCGATAATCAACGTTCATCTTCTTCGCCACGTTAATGAGATAATGAAAAGAAAGGATGCAATCGTTGCAAGGAGTGTGATAGCGAATCGAACTTATTCTCCGGGGGACAATATCGGAAGTATATGTATAACGCGTGCCTCAAATTAATAGGGTAGCTGATAACTTCTCTGATTAGTTTCAGTTTTAATAGCTTCCAAAGAACTAGATATATTTTCGTAACGTTTTCACGTAAATAGGTGTCGTTAACGTTTTATTCCAAGCTCGGTGTTGTCAATTATTAACAATATTTTCTGTTTCGTTAACTCGAATTTTTTAACTTTAAGTCGTTTCTCCATTCGACTTTCTTCCGTTGGCATCGAAGTTCTTGGAGGATTTAAATTATATGCTTCGTTGTAAAAGAATTCTCGCAATTCTTCGGCCTCGATGTTTTTTCTAATATTTTAAGCGGTGTTTGTAGTGTTTGAATCTTTTGATGCAACTGTAACGATTTTAATAAATGGGTTCTGTTTAATTTCAACGAACTTTCTGTTTATTTTTTTCGTTCCATCTCTGTTGCGTATACCGTAAGGTTTTTAACATCGCTAAAATCTAAATTCGAGAATTTATTGGTTACCCTGATAATAACCCTTTGCAAATTGCACTCTAAAATCTATCAGTCTAAACGAAAGGCTTTTTATGGTAAAAATGATTTAAAAAATCATAAGATTGTAAATAAACAATTTAATCGATCCGATAGTGTTCATTCGAAATACGAGAAATATAAAAGCAGCTATAGGCCAAACACTCATACGCAAAGGGTTGAATCTTTTACGTGATCTTGTATAACAAAGGAATAAAATGAAATCGTGACCAACGATATTCGGTTGATCACACGTGACAAATATTAATGAAACAAGGAGATCATAGCTATAAAAATGGCATTATCTATACAAACTTTGTTAACCTTTTGCGTCTGTGTACTTCGAATGATCGGTACCATGTAATTTTATACGAAGCCTTATGTCTTAATTACTTCTGTAAATAACGCATAAATATATTGAATTCACTTACGTGTATAGAGGTTGTAAGGAAATTCTAGATACAAATTTTTTAGAGTAATAGAACTTATTGAAGAAGAATGGAAAATATTTTAATATCGATAACGATTTAATAGCATAAATGTTTTTATAATTATTAATTCATGTGAGGATCATTTTTTTTGTAGTTAATATTCGAAATTCATTTCCCTGCGAATACCTTTTATTTTTCTGTTTATTTAATATTATCAATATTTGTTATTTATCCACAAGTAGAAAATGTATTACAATCGATATAAAAGGATTGCCAAATATTTGGCGAAACGAATTCATATTCAAATTTTTTCGTGAAAAATTGAATATTCTTTTAAAACGAAATATCTCTCGTTTATTTCAATATGTTCTATCAACGCACAAAACTTGTAGCCATAATTCCTTTGCTCCCTGTATACAACAATATATTGCAAAATTAAGGAGACCAATTATAAAAGCGAATTCTCTACAAAAGCATGCATAAAGAAATTGCAATCTAAACATACCCCAGGATTCTTCGTTATCCAGGTCGGGATATCACATTGCGGAACCTGAAACTATCGAAAACATTTATAAAATAAAAACATATATCATTTTTTATATTTTTTTAATACACTTGTTAAATAACCGTATTGCTTAATAATAAAAAAATGCAAAATGTATTGTATAATCGTAACGAATCTTGCAAAAATGAGAAGAATGCGCTTCTATAATTCCTCTATGTAATTTTGAAAAATACCTTTACACAATTGTGTGTGCGTACGTCGAACTCAAACAATTTGCGAATGTAAAGAATCGGTATTAGGAGACAAACTAACATAGGAATCGAATCATAGGAAAAAATCAATTGAATAGAAAACGCAAATAAAAATAAAAATAAAAATACGCAAATAAAAGAGAGAGAATAAAGCGATATTTCAATTACAGTACACTATGATATCCGGATGAAAGAAAAATGAAAAATATAATCTTTAGGCGGGAAAGAAAAGAAACTAATACGATAAATTAACCAAATTTTCAACGAGTTATTAATATCGCTCTTCGTGCAAGTAATACTGTGACGAGGTGTGAAAAAAATGTTCAACTATGAAAAACAAATATATTCTAAGGATTTTTTCATTCGTGTAAATCGTGTATCGTTTGAGCCAGACGTACGTTCGGACACTGGATCACAATTAGCAGGCGCGCAATACACGAACACGCGACCAATTGTATTAACGTCGTATGTACTGTAATCCATATTGTATATATCTGTGTATAAATGCGAATTAAAACGACTATAGAGATAGATTATTTCGTACTAAATACAGACGTAATCGGTGTTTCACGTATGGAATTGCATTTACGAAGTGTACTCGCCTAAGCCTGCAGATCCCCCGACGAACATTTCGATGGCAAAGGATTACTTATTGACTTGTTATTCCTGTTCGAGCTAACCCTTCGTTTCATTTCACCATCAGTTTCGAATATGTTACGCGGTATACCATACTTGTGCTACCGCCACCGAATAAAATCGAATTTTAAACCAAAAGAATTTATTATGCTATAAATTTCATTTGATTTCCGTAGCAAAATATTCATTATGTTTTTTTTATATTTAAAATGTTAAAATGTTTATTATTAGCGTTTAGAATATAACGTTGGTCCCTATTTATTTATATATATTTCGAACGATCGTTTATTTTAACGTTGTAACGTGAAAAATAAGTTTTGATGTACGTTCTGTATTGTTATTAATATTTAAGATAACGATAAAATTAAAAGCGGTGAAAAATTTATTTTAACGTGAAATATGTTCCATATTAAAAAACTGTACGATATTTTAAAATATATTTCAAATTCGATAAATTTGGTTAGAAAGTTAAGTTATTTACCGCGTAGATATTTATATTTCGATAAAAATGAAATTCAAAAAATTTGTATATCATAAAAGTGAATTTCCGATGAACGCGTGATACGATGCGTGAAATTGTATCGAAGAAAAGCTATTGTCAATGGTATTTTTATTCGTATCATTTTCCCGCGTTATGAAACGAAAGGTTAACACAGATATGTGAAACATTATAAATGAGTAAAATGGCGATCAGAATTTTTATCGTGATCGTTACGCATTAAGTCACGTATTCGATTTAAAAATTGAAGCATTTAACTGCCATTACATTAGCTCCTGATCATCCTCTAATTATTTATTTGAGAAAATTAAACCATGTAATATAATCATATTCATTTTTTATTATGAGAGATGACAAAAAAAGGTTTTACCCGAACTTTCTGATTATATTGTTAATTAAGAATATAATTTAATTAAGTAATCTATGCA